TTGGGGTAGGTGTACATGTTAATAAAGCCTCACACCTTATTAATATCATGCTGGAAGCAAAATCTGATAGGTAGCACTTTTCACTATCGAATTATGCTACCATCTGTTTTAATGGGAGGTAGCAAAATCTGACAGGGTAGCACAAATCGTCAGAACACCTGCAGAACAACAATGTGCTTCATGTTTCTTTTCTCCTCATTTTTTCGAATTGACGGAAATCCATCGTAGCAACGGAAAACTTTCATTCCTGAGTAGTATTATGTACATCATACTGCACCACAGTAATATATTTCTTAATATATTTTTGACGGGTTGCCATGAGGAACTTGTTTCTGTAGGTCTATGTAAATGATATGAAGATAGTTTTACTCCAATGAAACTGTCAAATGCTCATGAAGTGACTCTTAGAGGGAGTCAGAGCAGTTCTGGAGATGTTGTTCATGTATTTGTGTCCTCATGTAGTGATACGACAGAAGCTGAAATCACCGCGAGTGTCGCACACTTTGTGTAGAAAACAAAACCGCGCGTCTGTGCCATTTACATACACAGAGACACGCAGAACACGCTGGATTCATATTTAAATAGTATTTTTGCGGCTTAATATTTACAGATACTAAATTTCTTCTTTTAAGCCATATTGGTTAAAGGATAACAGATTACAGAATTTTTGGATGAAAATGATGCTTCACTGATTTCTAAAGTGCACAGCCGCATTAAAACACAAAACAAAAGGTTTCCTGTTGACTGATCTGACATCTGACAGATTATTTAGTAACCTTCAGTGATCTGGTTAAACTCTTGAGCCTCTCTTGGTCAGCTGGGTGACTTATTTGGTGCAAGATCAGCTTTAGATGAATCCAGAGATGGATCTTTCCCCAAATCCCCCTTTGGTCGAGCAACCGGAGCCCTGCCACCTAACGTTCACTCCCCAGGCTGGGGACACAGAGATTCGGAGAGGACGAAAGCGAGAGAAGAGGAGGAGCAGTGAAGCCAATCTCTGTGGGAACGCTGCTCTTCGCCGCAATGTCAGGTGCACATCATAAAGGGCCTTTTGTGCTGAGCCTCTGAGCTGCAAAGCAGTCTGGGAGAGCGGAGAGCAGGTAGAGCTCATGTTAGGGATGAGTCCTGAGGATTTTATGAACCCCATTCATCTCATCACTTCATATGATGCTTAGTAAGACATACTGTACCATAGTCCTCCACCCTACTTGCATACTTCAGAGGTTATGACCTTCTCAATGTAAATAATATCAATTATTTTTTTCAACTTTTACAAATAGTGTTGTGTTGACTTCATTACCAAAGTTGTTGTAGGAAAAAATGTCCAAACTATATATATATTTTTTTTTAAATACATATATTTTAGGAATCTTGGAATTGCTCCATTTATTATCACTTTAAATGAAGTTTTTCAGTGATTACAAACCAACATTTGTTCCCAAACTAACCGACTGAGAAATTATTTTATTTTATTTTAGACTGCCTGTCAGCTTTTTTTGGTCTATTAATTTTTTTAGAATTTAAAAATAGGAAGTAACTATTTTTAAAAGAATTTTTAGGAAATAAATCACACAAATAAAGATTTCAGTGTTTACTTAGACCAGGGCTCGGGAACCTATGGGTCGCGAGCCACACCTGGCTCTTTGACAAAAATCATATGGCTCGCTAGATCTCTCACCCTTTACCAACAAATTATCTATTACAAAAATTTTGCATCACTAGAGATCATTTGTTGTAGAGCCTACATAAGCTGCTAAAAGGTTTAAAATATATATATTTTTTTTTGTACCGGACAAAGTAGTGTTCAGTGCACGTGCAGTCCTGTTTGCGACGCGAGAGTCAAGACAGCAAACCACTGATGTTTCTATGGTAACGCAGAGCTAATAAACTTGTTTGTGGTAATAGCGAAAAGAAAGATTCTTTGAATAGCAGAAAAAGTGTAAAAGTATGTAAAAAAAAAAAAGTGACAGGACTGAAACATATACTTTGTTTTATAGAAGATGTTGTTCTCCTGTGCCAAGAGCCAGTATGAAATATTTCGGCAGTTACTTTCACTTTTTCCGCGCAGCTTTCAGCGGGTGGGACTGTTAGCGTTATTAATAAAGGAACGTGAATGAATGAGACAGTAAAGAGCGGGACATTCTTGATATTAAAAAGACAGACAATATTAAAAACTCAAAGCCGCGATACAGAACTCAATCTACTTCTGACTGGATGTATTCTGCGCGCGAGGTCCGAGTGGAACACGGAGAAGCAAAGACTTTGTCTTCGGTGGCACGCCTAAAACGGTCAAAACACGGAGTATCAAAATGCCTGCACTGGTGTGTATTCACATAAATACGGTCAACATAAGCACCTATTCTTCACTCTCTCTCTCTCTCTCTCTCTCTCTCTCTCTCTCTCTCCATTTGAAGGGCCTAACCAAACAACCTGATGTTCTGGATGCTCTATTTCCCTTTAGTATGTTAGGCCAGCCTGAGAAATGTTGCATTGGAATAAATTGTTTTCCATGTGACATTTGCATCAGGAGGGAAGAATCAGCGGAGAGAATATGGTGCTGTCTTCTTTCTTAACCCCTAAACTTTTAAAGGGGTCATATGATGCGACACACACACACACACACACACACACACACACACACACACACAGAGAGAACTCTGAAGAGAATTCATCCCCCTGTAAATCAACCTCACAGTAAAAGCCCTGCACAAAATTTGACGGTTATTTGCATATTTGTGTATTTTAGTTTCCATGATTCTAATAAAGTTACTATTATTAAAACGTTATTAAAAAAAACATGCATTTTATATAATATTAGGGCTATATATAGAGGCTCTTTTGGAAAAATGCATTAACCAAAAATAAAAAATTGGCTCTTTGGTCAAAAAAGGTTCCTGACCCCTGACTTAGACGTTCCACTTTTTAGTATACTTTTTAGTCAAGTCACCTTTATTTATTTATATAGCGCTTTATACAATACAGATTACAGCTTTACTGCAGCTTTACAGTGTTAAACAGGAAAACCGTGTGCTGATAATGCAAGAGGACAATAGAAAACAGTCAGTTTATCAGTTAAAGTGAGTTCATTGTTGATTCAGTGATGTCATCGTCCAGCTCAGTTCAGTTCTCTTCCAATAGTGTCTGTGCAGTCAAGTCAACAATATTGCCAGAAATTGTGTCCCCAACTAAGCAAGCCAAAGGCGACAGTGGCAAGGAACCAAAACTCAATCTGTGACAGAAATGAAGAAAAAAACCTTGGGAGAAACCAGGCTCAGTCGGGAGGCCAGTTCTCCTCTGGCCAGACGAAACCAGCATGGTGTGGTTTAATTCCAGGCTGCAACACAAGTGAAGTCAGATTGTGCAGAAGACTCGTCTGGTTCCCATGGTCTTGTGCTGATGGCCGACGAGGTCTTCACAGGGGATCTGTCTCTAGGGTTCGTCTAGTTGACATTAGTCTCCGCTGACATTCAGGGCTGTAGAGGTCGTCTCTAGGTGCTGATCCACCATCAGGTCTGGATACGGACTGAATCCGTGTGGCTACGGTGACCTCGGAATAAGAATGAGTCTAATATTAGCATAGATACCATTCCTCTTACGATGTAACGAGTACATCGGGTGTCATGGGAAGTGTTCCCGGTTCCGGTTGACCTAATTAATGCAGATTAACAATCCTTTAACGGATTTGAATTATAGAAATGTGTATGCCAGGTTAAAGAGATGGGTCTTTAATCTAGATTTAAACTGACAGAGTGTGTCTGCTTCCTGAACAGTGCTAGGTAGATTGTTCCAGAGTTTGAGCGCTAAATAGGAAAAGGATCTGCTGCCCGCAGTTGATTTT